CGATCCCCGACCGCGTCATACCAAAAGACGTTAAAATATGGTACTTGTTGGTCCCTGCCTGGCGCTCGGCATTAAAGGGTACAACAAGGACTGGTCGGCTCGGAGTATATGTGTCTGAGTGGGGTATTCATGCTTCACTGCGGCATGGTATCTCAGTGGGCTAGTACTGTAAAACCAGCTTCAGTCTGGGCTAGTACAAGCAGCCGCACATACACATACACACGCATGCACGTCGTCATATGAGCGAAATATTCTCAAGCACGACGTTAAACCCAATTTCACCCCACCTTTAGGTTAGATATAGGATTCGTTATTAACATAGTATATCGTCATATGTATTATTGGAGAGTATAAAATATTTGTTATGTTGGGATCCTCACCACTACCCAAAAATATAAATATAAGGCATAGAACATAAAAGGTAATGTTTCTCGGGTATCGTCTCGGTATACAGCGCAGATTATTTTACAGAGAAAATATATTTTTCCAATCCCCCGCGCCGTATGAATCCCAGATATGTTAATAGAGCTTTAGAACTGACCTTTTATTAAACACCGTAGTTAAATGTGTGCCCAGTTGTGTTTGTTGAGAGTTTTGGTTTTAATAACATTATTTTGAGACGACTTCTCCGATCTGGTGTAAAACAGAAATGGCTACTTATACCCAACTTGTGACTCATTGCTGGCTTATATCTTTGTAGTATGGTATCTTGACATCAGAATCATCTATAGACAACAGGTCACCATTAGACTGATTGGTACAGCAAGTTTTAAGAAGAATGTCCCACGGTTTTAGAGTTCTGCAGAGTCCAACACATAACCCTACATCATCAAAATGCACCAGCTTGCCACTACATTAAACTGGGCCAAGTTTCGCATAGCGATCGTAACTCCCATACCTTATTTTGACTTACAATCGTCGATGCGTTAGGGCTTATTTGTGGACAAGGGCCCCATCAAGTAATGTTCAACGGTTTAGGAGTCCTATGTTCGTATCGTGCTTCGCATAGCTATTGTCGTGGGTAGATATGAATATGTAATAAAAACTCGAGCTTGAAATTAAGGAGACCAGTGAGACTGCTTTACGTGTTTCATATTTAGATCTATGAATATAGATTGGCAAAGAGTGGCAAAAAACATCTCCAAGAGGTTTTTAGGCATGAGGGATGACTTCAACCCTCCAATAGTCAACTTTCCCTTCATGTCGAGCAATATTTCAACAGATCCAGCCTTTAGTGTTTACATTTCGCAACTTTTGAGGATCAATAGAGCATGATCTCTTCATCAGGATTTGGGCGGTGGGGTAGTCTAGTGGTTAGAGTAGAGCGTTGGCTCGTCACGCCGAAGACCCGGGTTCGAATCCCCACATGGGTACAATGAGTGTCCCCCGCCGTGATATTGCTGGAATATTGCTAAAAGCGGCGTAAAACCAAACTCAGTCAGTCAGTCATCAGGATTTAAAAGAAATGACTCTTGTTCTGAAGTTGTTCTAACAAGGTTCGCTCCCCAATTGTTTTCAATTGTTTTACGCCCACCTTTGTGAGTACCTGGTATCATCACTATTTCATAGTGATTCATAAACACATGCTCCTAATATAGTCGGAATTGAACTATCATCTTTGTTGTCATTAGAGGTTTCTCATTGATGTGGAAAGGATTTTGATGCTTACATGTGCATAGCTTTTGCACGTGTACTGTGCTGGCAAGGAAGATGTGGAGACGCCTTTGCAGAAGGAAGCATTTGGTTTGTGTTGTAGCATAATTAGTTGTTTGATGTCAAGTAGGGCTAAGTCGTTGGTGAGAGTTTTAAAAGTGGTTCGGCATATGATATACGGTCGGTCTGACTATGACAAAAGAGAGCACATGTTTGGTGTTGGAATAATGAACCGTAGTTACGAATAAATCACCGAAATAAGAAATGTAATGATGTTTAACGTGTAATATGTTTTCCATCACTTCTGTGTTGTATAATTGGTTCATTACATTCACCATTAAAGTTTTCAGTGAAGCAATGCGTTGATTTAATTTTGGTTGGGTTGTTGTTTAACGCCGCACTCAGCAATATTCCAGCTATATGGGGGCTCTCTGTAAATAACCGAGTCTGGATCAGACAATCCAGTGATCAACATCATGAGCATCGTTCTACGCTGTTGGAATACGATGACATGTGTCAACCAAGTCAGCGAGCCTGACCACCCGATCCCGTTAGTCGCCTCTTACGACAAGAATGGGTTACTGAAGGCTCATTCTAACCCGGATCTTCACTGGCAGTTGATTTAATAAGTAAAACACATAAACGCAAATTCGTTGAGCGTCTTATGGGTATGTCGGTAAGAATGCCAATGTGGCATTTTATGAAGACATTAAACGATTTTTCTTAGCGTAGGCAAGTGCTACGACTGGGTGATTTTACATGTCTGTCGCGTGTGTCCGCTGATATTTCTCAGAATTTCTATTTGCTCGCAGTGTGATCCAATTTCGCGATCAAATGATTGTGCATAAAGCAGCGAATTAACTTCAGAGGCCATTCATTTCGGATGGGCAGCGGTATACTGCTGGCTTATTCGCCTCCCATTTCAGTCAGCGTCCTGCTCTGTTACCATAGTCGGCACGGAAAACAAGTCTTAGGAAATAACCTAAACTGATTACGTTGGTGATCTCACGTGAGCTTTCATTTGACCTAGTAATTGCACGTTCTTGCACAAAAATGAAGCGTTTCTTTAAAGCGCTGCTGAAAACTTTAATTGTGTGATGTTGTTACGGTTCGTTGTAGCTCGTAGTTGAGTTACGTAAGGGTGTCCCACTTTTACTTGTTCCATGAACCTTTCCTCTTTGTGTCATATCTTAAATCCAGTTGACGCATATTTTCTGATGATGTCTACCACGGTGATTATGAAAGACATTTACGTTCTTTGCCAGCTGGGGCGGTGGGTAGCCTAGTGGTTAAAGCGTTGGCTCGTCACTCTGAAGACCCGGGTTCGATTCCCCATATGGGTACAATGTGTGAAGCCCATTTCTGGTGTTCCCCGCCGTGATATTGCTGGAAAGCGGCGTAAAACCCAATTCACTCACTCACTCACTCTTTGCCAGCTATACACAGATGAACACGTCATCAACCCCACAGGGATGATCTATGCAATCTATGTTGGGCTCTGGAGATTACAAAAACGATCGGGTGTTCTGGCTCAATGTTGATTGCGTGAAATCTGACACCGTTAACATCGATCGTTGTTTACAATATCAATCACTTGGTTTTGTGACCAAGTTGGTCATCACTTTTTGATCAGAAAAAATAGCTGATTGTGTATTTTGTTTAATCGACAATGAAACTGAATAATAACTGCATAATCCTAATGCATAAACGGAATGTGCGTTCTCCTTTAGCTATATTCACAGGAATGTATGTATGTATGTATGTATGTATGTATGTATGTATGTATGTATGTATGTATGCATGTATGTATGTATTTATGTGTGTCTGTATGTATGTGCGTGCGTGCGTGTGTGTATGCATGCATGTGATTGTTTGATAGAGTTGTACAATTGACCACTGACATACTAACGCATCTCTTTCAATCACATCAAAGACATAAAAATCCATATGGATGTTCGAGAGTTTTTCATATTTCCTGCGGTTCTGCAAAAATCGTTAGAAATCAGATGAACAACGATTCCAACATATTCATGTCATTGCATAAGTTCAATGCTATTTCTTTTAACGAGAGAATAAATATTTATCGACGCGGTGTGTTAGTCCCTAAACCACTTCAGTGTATGAATGATTACAATGTTTATTTAACGCGATGGCCATGACAGGACATTCGCGTGGTGAAGCTTGACGTTCGTGTTAGAGCGGTCCTCCGTTTAACCTTGTCATCAAAGGTGATAAGACGCACGTTTCCTGATAACGATGTATGATCCGAAATGATAAACTGTCGAAACCATTTTGTCGTGAAGAAGAGATGGGATATTTCTCTTTTTTAACAAATATTGACGCAATATTATGGCTGAAGTAAGTTTCAGCTTGGTATCTAGATCATCTGCGAACTGTAAGTCTATCTGTCTTTGCCAGAGAGAAGCGTGCCAAAACGTAAAACATCTCCAAGAGACCAAGATTGCATTTTGCATCAAATCATCAATCACAAGAACAAATTGCTCTCTAATAACTACAATGAATTCCACGAAGAATAGGCGAGGTGTCTTAGTTAAATTGCCTGAACCAGAAATAAATGTAAAGTAATGTAATTTGACAATTATCATGGCTAGGTTCCAGCAGCTGTTTGGATATAGACATTTCAATGTATTTATCAAGTGGACTATCTTTACTAAAATGTATTTGAATGACTCCGGGGTTTTATAATTGTTTTACTTATGATATTTCTAAAGCATAAAGTTTTAAAAAGACAACTTATCTATTCTTTTATATCTCAAAAATGCAATGTTCCTTCACCACTTTAGAAAAGCTATTATTCTATACAATCATTGTGACTTCACATCTCATTGGACCCGACAGCTCAGATTGGACGATGGATTTGAAATGTCAATAGATACTGTTCAGTACGATAAAATGTCGTGGTAGCAGACATATTGGAATTCAGTTTATATTAGATGAAATAATTTTGTAAACTGTCGAAAAACGGATCTTGTGCACATGATTATCATACACATGATAAAAAATGTGATTGTTTGTAATATATTCACCCGACAGTTTACTGGTAATATTTGACTTGTCATAAAAGATTATTTATATACATTTTCTAGATCAATTGTTCAAATTGCTTTACTTATTACTGATGTGGAAAGTTGCAGGTGCGCTATAGAGACTGATTGCATTTTTAACAGTAAACAAAGAATCTTAATGACTTAATGAAGACTTAAGATATGCAATATCGTTATATAGAAATCTTGAGAATATTACAGGTTTTGTTATTGTGTAGTATTTCAATCAGTGCATTTAATCTGTATGCCGAGGATAATGTTTTATGTTTTCATATTCCACAGACACCTAAGCAACACAAGGATTGGATTCATTCCGGCGCGAGCATTTGAGAGATACAAGAAAATACGAGAACTGTAAGTATATAGGGAACTGCACGCAGAAGTTAGATGTATTGCTATGGGCTCGTTTTTTATAAACCTTGGAAACTCAGCTCTCATTTCCTTTTCTAAGTGAGGCAGGAGAAATAGCATCTCCTTTCACACGAAAACATTGTAACTCATTTCGTTTATCATATATTTTTAGATAACATACCTTGATGATGACATTTTACATCAAGACAATATATTTGGAAAAACGACGTAAGATTGTGTTTGGAGACATGAATATACCATATTTCCCCTTGTAAAGTACGATACCTGTTTTCATGGAAATTGAATGGTCAAACTTTAATGGAGTAGGGAGCACTGGTACAAGTCACATTGTGCCAGGTCCAGTGCCTTTTTCCACGTGCGGCAGTAGTGGCAACGGCAGGCTGTCAAACCAAAACTTATTGTTTAAAACACACACGCACATTTGGGATATATTTGAAGTACTCATTTATAATCATCACAAAATATTTTTGGGTCAATCGGGAATTAGTCTGCCGGTTCAAACTGAATTGCATCTAAACCTCAGGGGCATGAGCAGATTTACATGTCTATGTTATCTCTAAATACACTGACGTCCAAAACAAACTTTACCACTTTAAAAATGAAATTACACACACATAAAACCAAAAACCCATACAAATTGAAACTACTATACAAAACACATCGTCCAAACACGGAAATGCTCTATACAGAAAGTGATACACGGAACGGTTTGGGGGCATTTGTCGTGGAATATGCGAACAAAACAAAAACACGCGACACTGAGGCAACGGACGCTGCACGTGCACGTCACGTAGGGTACGTAGTATATACATGATACGGGCGGCTTGTAAGACACTCGCCTTCATAAAAACAACTCCACTCGATTCTCAAGTATTTATGGCTTACAGAAGACAGTTATTGACAATGCAACATCGTTGTCAGAGATTGAGATGGCACCGGACTATACGCCGATGGCAGCGACGTGACTGGCAGAGGATCGTCTTCTTCTGTCTGTTCACAGCTGATGAAGACATCTTATTTATTGCCTGTGGGGAGTATGAACGGAGGCATGCTACTTTCAGAAGTCGTATCTATTTTGGGTGGGATGTTATGGAATGGGAAAGAATTTGTGGGCAGGAGAGAAAACCACTGAAAACGGAAATTCCACAGCTCAACGTTACATGGATGGCTTTCTTCGTCCAATTATCCCACCATTTCTACAAAAGCTGCCACGTGGTGTCGTTTATCAACATGACAACGCCAGACCTATCAAAGGCCGGAATTGTACAGACCTTCCTTGCAGCCAACAATGTCAAGGTGTTGGCGTGACCTGCACGCTCCCCAGACATGTCCTCCTTAGAGTGAGTGAGTGAGTGAGTTTGGTTTTACACCGCTTTCAGCAATATTCCAGCAATATCACGGCGGGGGACACCAGAAATGGGCTTTACACATTGTACCCGTGTGGGGATTCGAACCCGGGTATTCGGCGTGACGAGCGGACGCTTTAACCACTAGGCTACCCCACCGACCTCCTCCTTAGAACACCTCGGATATGTGATGAATCGTTGTTTTCGACAGCGAACACGTCCTGCCAACAAGAACTGATTCAGGCTCTCCAAGAAGAATGGCGACGTATCTCACGTGAAATCATCAGACGACTTACCTTTTCTGTGTTTCTGATTGTTTGCATGTTTTGTAGCAAATGTAGACGCTATTAATGTGACGTGCCATTGAACGTTAACGACTTTAGATGTGTGAGCCCATTGTCCATTACGTTGAAAGCCTGTTTTTGCTACCCCGCCCCATTTTGGGAAACTGTCGAGCAAATATCGGTTGCTGTGAGACAGCCATTTTAATTGTTGATTTCGTTGAGGTTTTATCTTTTCCATTCATGCATCTTGCTTTCGTGTTGTTTAACTGACTTAAAGCTATGGTAAAGTTTCTTTTCGCCGTCAGTTTATAAGTGACAAAACTCTTTTCATAAGAAATCTCTGCTAAAAGACAATGGTAGGATACCGATGAGATAAATAGCCATGTGATATCACTGTGATATATATAATAACAATGGGGTTAATAACCCAATTTAGCGTTGAGCGTTATATTGTATTCAATGTCATAAAACGGCCCGAGTTTTCTGGATTTCTGTGGCTTTACGATGAATTTTTGTGATACCCTTGAGCAGATGAGAGTGTCTTTTGCAGACTAACGATCACAAACGAATCACAAGACGCGACATGTGGTTCCTTCATTCCTCTTGGTTATTACCGGCATATCAAAGACCTCTAATAGACACATGAGAAACAAAACATCCACCGTCGCCTCTTTGAAGCCATATAACGTTTAGACTTATCCGAGTCGTGACGTTCTTGCACATTGAACATGGATACTATTGATGTTTATGGGTTATAAGTTCAGATAAATAACATATACATGGACGATCTCGCCAGTAATGAACCTAAACATGATGATACTTTGCCGGTATCCTTACCAATCATATTCCTTTAAACCCTGGTTTACAAATGACATTTCTGTAGACGTGTTGGGGTTTTTTCACTTTTGAAATGTGAATGTGAATGTCAACTTGTCAAAAACATATAAAAGAAAATAATATGAAAAGACCTTGATAAGCATGCGTATTTCAGTTTTTGACATTAATGAAACATTTAATGTATTACTGAATGCCAATGGTACCTGGTAAATGTGTTTGAGTCTTTAATGCCTTCATTCATTTATGAGCAGAAACATGTCTCGATTATTATTTTTAAAAAAGAAATTCCTTTATTCATTTTATATGCGATTTGCAAATTTGCCGATTTTCCTTATCCTCTTTTGATCTATTTTCTAGGTCGATGCACTTAAAATACATTATTTAATGAGCATTTTTCATCCTATCACACTGGACTTTCACAGTAAAAGAATAGGGATTTACCTTAAAAGCACCATTTGCGGGGTCATGTTGGAATGTTGACGAAAACATTGCTGTGATTGTATGAGATGCGTTTTTTCGAAGCTTTGATCAAATTGTCAAAATCTTTGAATCCTGAAGGAAAACGGCATTTAGATTTCATTCGAAACAACCCATTAACGGTTAAGTTTCACATTCAGCAAATGAATGAAGAAAAGACGCCTATTCAGTGAAAGTTTGATGGCCTTAAAATCTATTGCTGCGTATATAGTGACAAATAACATTGGACTAAGTGCATTGTGAAATCTGTCATTAGTTTTGAAGAAATGGACACTTGTGCGTCCCCATTTACCTTGACAGTGCATTGTGAACCTTTCACAAAAATATTTTTTGTCTTCCTAGGTATTTTTCTTTAGATGCCAGGATAACAACAAATCTTTGCAATTCCAAACATGTCCATTCTTTCATCTGTCAACGTTATTTACATAGTCCTGCAATTTCTTCACACAAGAATAACTTTCAAATAGATTTATTTCTTACGCGGCACTGAGCAATATTCCAGTTCAAAGTCAGCGAAATAATTGAGTCTTGACCAGACAAGCTGGTGACTTGGGACACAACAGCACCCAATCATCCAAGTCACCGAACCTTACTTAGTCGCCTTTTACGTCAAGGTGCTGGAGACCTACATACTTACCCAAAATCCCCACCGGTGTGCCTTCAATTAGCATCTTGTGTCTTCAATTACCATATGACAGTAGCGACAATTATTGTATAACCTTGGGCTGGCGAGGTATAAACAGAAGGGGATGATCATAACTATGCTTTAAGGCACACCGTCAACTACGCTAATAAGTTTGAACACAAAAACAGTCTTTGAACATTGTTCCGTTGTTTTCGCAGAGCCATCGCAAACCCCAAAAGTGGGGGATCACCGAATTGCTTTCTTGTGCCTTATTATTTCTGTAAAATAAATAATGATCAATATCGACGGTCGTAGTAATTTCTCTCCGCGTTTCGGCCTTCAACTGAAATGATAAGAATATTATTCTGCAGAGGATAACGAATGTTAAAGGCACATGTATACATATTACATATATGTCGACAGTGCATACAAGGAGAATTATAAAGAGTATTACACACATATGCTTTCTGTCACTTTCAGCACTGTTTTGTTTTTTAGTTACCTTTGAACCCATGATTTTATTACCTTATTTTTTTGTGAAGTGACTATTCCCACTGACACGTGAATGGGTATGGATTTGATTTTGTACGGCTTTATCCCACACGACAAACGTAAGAAGTTAATTTCGTGGTTCATGGGGCATTTGTTACTGAACGTTGTGACCAAGATTAATTATGCACATCTGCGGATGTTCGGAACAATTCGCAAAAATGTAAGCAAATGTCAGTTTACGAAGAAACACATGAAAAGACATTTTCATTGGTAACATTAACAAACTTACCGTGTATAAACTATAGGCCAGTCGTAGGGATCTTTAAGGACACTATCTGTGCTCCTCTGCTTCCTGGTCTTCCTTCCTTACGCACTAATTTGCTGTGGGATAGCCTAGTGGTTAAAGCTCGTCACGCCGAAGACCCGGGTTTGAGTCCCCACATGGATACATTCTGTGAAGCCCATTTCCGGTGTCCCCCGCCGTGATATTGCTGGAACATTGCTAAAAGCGGCGTAAAACCGAACTCACTCACTCACTCACTCTTTACGAAATGAATCGAAATGTCCGTTCGGATTGACAAAAGCAAAACTAAACTTCCGGTAGATCGACTAAGCTTAACACCATGAACTCGGGTTTTTTTTTTCATGATAATAACTGACTTGCATGTGTTTGTTACCGTCCACGCCGGTGGAGATGGATTCGCTGCATTTTTCGGGACCACCTATCATCACTTGTTGATTCATTAACATATGTTCATACCATGTTTGGAATAGCACAGTCGATTCTGTTTTTAATGGCGATATATTTGTGAAAGTGGAAGGGTTTTGTCCCATGTTTTAATTGACACCTACCAATTTGAGTTATTTCTTTATGTATCATAAAAATATTTGATGGAACATAATCACACGAGGAACGTTTCA